ACATGGAGCGCATGCGAGACATTGGGTGATGCGTTGCCGACGTACCGAGGGAAGGCTACAGTATGCGCTTCTTCTAAATCAATCGCAATACTCTGCCATCGATCCAAGATTTCAAGTGGAAGAGGGTCATCACAGCCTACATCTAACTTCCACACGTCCTGGAGAAGTATCTTGGCGCGCACCAGAACAGGAGAAAGCAATCCAAGGGGATCGAAGAACTTGGCCACGGTTTGCAGTAGGTGACGTTTGGTTGCTATGACGGCATGAGTGGCAGCGACCTTTGTACAGAAGAGACTATCTTGACAGGTATCCCAAAGCATACCAAGGCACTTTTGTGTACCGGTTGAAGCGCAATCGAGTTCGGGAACGTGGTGAAGGAACTCTGGACTGTTGCTGGACCATTCTCGGGCATTCATCGATGTGGCTGAGAATAACTTCTTCGTTGCAGTGTACTTATGAAGGGCCTCATCAGGAGAGGTTGCGCCAATAAACAAGTTGTCTACATAGATATTCCGAAGAAGTTCTTGCGCGTCTGGGACGTCGGCAATGGAGAGATGATGGCGAACAGTAGCTGCTAGAAGGAAGGGGCTACTGATCACCCCGAATGGCACACGACAGAAGTGGTAGACTACAAGATTCTCTGGTGAGGGTGGTTGACCAAGGTCCTTGACCCACAGAAAACGAGTGACGTCTCTGTCCGCTTTGCATAGGCTGAGTTGAAGGAAAGCTTTTTCTATGTCACTGGAAATGGCAATAGGCGAAAGGCGGAAACGCAGAAGGATTCCAGCGAGATCAGGGACGAGGTTCGGGTCAGCAGCTAGGCAGTCGTTCAGGCTGGGGTGGGAGCGTGAGAGCTTGGCGGAAGCATCGTAGACTATTCGGAGCTTTGTAGTCGTGTGTGAAGGCTTCTCTACGCAGTGGTGGGGAAGATAATGCACAGAATTCGAAGTGGGCCCAGGCGGTACTATCTCAATAATGCCTTTGGTCAACTGATCTTGCAACACACTGTTGTACTGTTGAAGAAGAGTACGCTTTGACGTGACACGTTTCAAAAGGGAGGTCAGTCGGCCCAGTGCTAATCCGTAGTTGGATGGAAGTTCGTCTTGCAGGTCCCGCCATGGCCACTCGACAACATAGCGAGAGTCCTCGAAAGAGAGTGTGTGGAGGAATCGCTGAAGAACGATGTCTTCGTGGTCTGCGTTGCCTGGGACAGGGAACTCTTCCGCTGCCCAAAACCGCTGCAAGTCCATAGAGGGATCTCCATCGCTGTGACTGTGGACTGCAAGACATGATTGACCCTCCGACGTGGCCGGTGTAGGTACCGTACCTGTACAAATGAAGCCGAGGGAAGACTGCAGGAGGACAAGTCCCCCTGGAAGTTCCAAGCGGTCTGGACCCACAATATGGTAGTAGTGATCGAGGCCCACCAGTATGTCGATGGGCAATGAGCCTGAAGAAGAAGCTAGCGGTTCGGCAAGGGGCAAGGATTGCAAGACTGGATACCGCTTTGCCAATTCTACCCTCTGAATCGGTGCAGTTATTTCTGGTAACACACATGCTTTGAGGAGGTGCATAGAGCCATCATTGCACTGCACCCTAACTTCCACCTGGTCATATTCTGTTGTGTGTCGCTTGCTATTGCCAAAGGTTGCTAAAGAAATATACTGCTGACCGACTGTAGGCAGGTTGAGACGTGTTGCTAAGTGTGAAGTGACATACGTTCGATTTGCACCAGTGTCGAACAAGATTCTCGCATTGACAATGTCACCATCGTGTGTTGAGCATGATGCTACGGCCGTTTGCATTACGACATGGCTACCACCGTTCGCTGTAAGTGTGTTGGCGTGAGGTGTGAAAACCTCCGCATGAGCGCTTAGGCTGGTTTGGGATGAGGCTGTGAATTTAGTCGGGCACAAACTGCGGTGATGGCCAGACGTTTTGCAATGATAGCAAGTGATTGTGCTAGTGCATTCACGTGTACTGTGCCATGTACTGAAACATTTGAGGCAACGACCTTTAGCTGCCTTCTGTCTGTCATTGATCGTGGTAACTTTGGTGCATTCGTCTGTATAATGTTCGGCCTTGCAAAATGCACAAGTAGGCTTTCGCCGAGACATTGTTTGTGCTGGTAATGAATGCCCAGAAGATAAAGATGGGGAAGGGGATGTGGCATGAGAGGCCTTGAAGCTACTCGTATCGTTGGGCTTCTTTGCAGGGCAAAGGCGATCTGCCGCTTCGTGTGCCGCAATGTACACTCCTAGAGTGTCTCTTAAATCCTGGCAGGTCAACGGCGTTGGGCCCTTTTTTAGCTCAAGGGTTACAAGTGTGGCACGTGGAAGTTTGCTTGTCATGATGGAGATAATTACGCCTGAGTCAGTTTTCTCGCCGAGAGCATCAAGGCTATGCAAGTGAATTTCTAACTGGTCATACAACTTGCGTAACGAGGTCGTGGTGTTCGACGCGGAAGGTAAGTCGAGCATTGACGTGTAATGCGAATCCACCAGTACTTGTTTAGTGCCGAATCGGGCACGAAGGATATCCAACGCAATGGTGTAGTTTGCGTTCGACAAAGGGAGGCCGGAGATGGCGTCATGGGCCAACCCAGTAACGTGGTCCTTGAGGTAGGTGAGTTTTTGTATCTCTGACAGCCCCGTGTTACAGTCAATTGAGGACATGAACATGTCATGGAATTCGCTCCATTTCAAAAAATCTCCGGAAAATTTGGAAATTTCAAATTTTGGTAATTTGACAGATGTTGATGTTGAAGTAGTACAAGGCTGAGATTGGGATGGTAGCGTGTTGAGGAGAGCGGTCTGTTGTTGTAGGAGCTGTGACTGTGTTTGAGTCATGGATTTATGTTGTTGTTGTGTGGTAGATAGCAGTTTTGTTGCGGTAGCGTGTAGTGATGCTGAGGCTAAGACATGTTGATCATGTGAGTCTGGGTCGCTAGCGCCAGCTGGGTTTCCGATCGCGCTAGGCGATGACGTGTGTAACGTGCGTTTGATGGCAGTGATTGTGGAGCGTACAGATGATGAGCAATTTACACAATCGTCTAACTCAGTTTCAACATCTTCTTTAGCGATACCCAGATTCTCAGGAACCAAAATCTCAGCTAAACTACCACAAAAATCGTCATATGCTAACAAGGAAAAATTCTAAAACAGAGCACAAGAAACTTAGCTTTTGCAAGGTGTCCGGATCGGGAGAGGTAGGTTCGATGGTCTGGAGCAGAGCAGAGGCTTCCTTGATGTCTCTCTGAATGGCCACTTGCTGCACATGCACCTGCCTACGTCTGAGGAACAAAGTCCCGACGGGCGTCTTATCCTTCTTCGCTGGCATCTACTTAGTAGGGTTTTGGCACCAGTTTGTCGTCGTTGTCATCGCATCGACAAGAGTTTTTTTGTCTTTTATAAGGTTTTATTATTGCTATTGATGTAGCTCTGAGCTACTGATTAGAGCAGGAAAAAACTGGTCTCTACTCTAAGAAGAGACATGAAGAAGACTAGCGAAAAGCTGCTTGTAGAGCAACAAAATATAAAGTCGGCAAGTTCTTGCTGGGAACGACGCTACATTCGGATCACTGGATCCATACTAGGCTCAAGCGATTCCTCAGGGGTCAGCGCGAAGGCAGAAATAGGCATGCGTGTACAGCCAGAAATGGACGTGTGTACACATAGGAGAGCAAGGGAAGCGCAACGCGAGCTGTAGCAGCTAGAAACGGATACATGCGCAGAAAGGGGAGCACACCGCGACATGCACGGCAGCCAGAAACGGATACATGCATACAACAGAGAGCAAGTAGAGCACACTGCTAGCTGCAGGACAGCCACTAGACATGGCTGGGTGCATACAAAAGGGAATCACTTGGTGCCAAAAAAGGGGGCACATAAATGATCACGACTGATGTTCGTGACACTGGGGCAAGGGCCGGCGACACATGAGCATAAAGCTTATCAAAGAATAATCGCTCACATAGTTTCGATACACAGGACAACAAGGAGATAGGACGGTAATTGCTGGCTTGTGACTTGGAGCCTTTGCTCTTGTAAACCGGAACAACCTTCGCGAGTTTCCATGCTGCTGGAAATTTACCCGTCGAAAAGGACACATTTAAAATGCGGCAGAGGGGGTACGAAATCGACGGGGCAAGTTTCTTCAGGACATCATTCGTAATGGTGTCCAAGCCAGGACTGCGGCGAGACTTTAGTCGGGCGATAGCCTTTCTAACATCCGCAGTTGTGGTGATGACCTGAACAAATGTTTCATGAAGTTGGCTGTGGGCACGAAGAGCTGGAAATGATAACGACGGATCATCCGGCACAGCAACGGAGGCGAACTGCTGGTTGAGGACTGTAGCCTTGTCGTGTAATGAGGTGTAACATTTGTCTGTGATTTCTGTGGTTTTGCAGAGACAGGTAAATTGCATTGTGTTGCAGTGTGTTGTGAAGATGTCCCCGCGATGTCGTTCATTGATCGTCTTCACCTTTTTCAGCTACTGTCCAGTACTGACACAGTCACTGACTGACGTAGCTGGACGTGGGGTCAAAGGTTGTCTCACTCAGGGAGTCGTAAAATACGTATTTTACGACTCCCTGGTCTCACTCTAAATATGGCATTGGGTATGACGTCATGACGAGTGTGTACGTGTGTGCGTACGCATCAGCGTAGATACAAGTATTGACACGTGAGATAAATCTTGTTTGGATCATTGTGTATGTCATAGCATGTGAGTACTTGTTGTCTGTCTGTGTGTCTGTCCATCTGTCTGTCTGTGTCTCTCTGTCTGTTGTGTGTCTGTCCGTCCATGTGTCCGTCTGTCTGTGTGTCTGTGTGTGCATCCGTGTGTGCATCCGTGTGTGACGGTCTGTTTGTCCATTGCTCCGTGTATATGACTTGTATTTTATGTGTGTGTGTGTGTGTGTGTGTGTGTGTGTGTGTGTGTGTGTGTGTGTGTGTGTGTGTGTCTGTCTGTATGTGTCTGTCTGTCTGTGTGTGTCTAGTGTGTGTCTGTCTGTGTTACGTACACATTGTCCCTGTACAGACATGTCCAGTCTAGAAGTCGAAGGGTTTGCTGAGGAAGTGCAGCGAGAATATGCCACAACGGAAAGTCTTCAGGCTGCTGTGCCTCCTGAGCAGTCGCAATTGTCCTCCACATCACATAAAGTGACATGGAAACCATTCTCATGGAGATCATCACCATGCTGCTACTCAATGGGAGTAAGTAGAATGTTGCTGTACAGTGTGTGTGTGGGGGGGGGGGGGAGTTTTCTGTGACACCCTGTCTTCTCGTCTGTACCATTGTCAAGTGATTGGTGACCAGTGGGAATCGCTGATGTGACATAACTTTACAGGATGTGCAATTGCTGCAAGCTTCTCTCAAGCTGGAATCAAGTTATGACAATTTGTCTGGTTTGGATCGCTGGCCTCTGAGGTCAATCAATAGGTTTCCTAACTCCTGATGGCATTGTACTGAGAGTATTGTTGCTGTCGTTTTTGTAATTGTCAAATCGTTTTTTCTGTTTTGTATATCACACAGACAATGCTCCTTCTTGTGATCTGCTACAAGGGTTGGCGTCTTAATGATGAAATCTTCTGCACTATTGTACACTACATATTTAGTGTACATAGTGTAGAGTTGAATGAGAAAGACGAAACTAACGTAAGTTGTTGTGTTCTTGATTGTTACAAGACTCAGTACTGTTCAGTGTCATGGTTTTTTTGTGTGTCCGTCTGTTTGTCTGCCCGTCTGTCTGTCTATCGGTCTGTCTGTCTGTCTGACATTTTACTCCTGTGTTTCTGTATCCCTGCACTGAACCATGTATCTGTATGTCCACGTGCACCAAGTTTTGACGTCATTGGGATATACCACTGACTGTATGTCTGTCACGTGTGTATGTTTGTGTGTGTGTGTGTGTGTGTGTGTGTGTGTGCATGTGTGTGTCTGTGTGGTGTGTGTGTCTGTGTGTGTGTGTACGTTTGTGTATTTGTGGGCGTGCACGCGTGTGTTTCTGTGTGTGTGCCTGTGTGTGTATGTGTGTGTGTGTGTGTGTGTGTGTGTGTGTGTGTGTACAGAACAACTTGACACTACTGCACTGGTCTGCAATGAGTGGAAATGATCGACTAACGAATATACTCATCGGACGAGGAGCTGATGTCAATGCGCAGGCCAGCTGTGTAAGAACTAGTGATAGTTTACAGTCTATAGACGCGTACCTGGGCAAAAACTGTTATGTCAGCATCTATACCACATAAAATCTGTGATCACTTTGTGCATAAATGTTTCAAAATTGGGCGTCTGTTATCCATTCGTTTAGAAACTATACGAGAGTAATTGTGGAGCGGTCCTGAGCAATTTTCCGAAAACTATTCTCAAAAAGGTCGAGCCAAATTTGAAATATTTCAAAAACCCTACGCGTCTATAGTTTTGAAAAGAACTGTAGAGTCTGGTTGTCTCAACTGAATTCTCAGTTTGTATGTTCCTACTTTTCTGTCTGTATGTCTGTAGGACAATCTGTACATTGGTTAACCATGTGTTTCTTTGTACATATCTGGCCACGTGTGTCTGTACAGCTGTCCGTATGTGTGCGTGTGTGTGTGTGTGTGTGTGTGTGTGTGCTCACGCGCGTGTGTGCGCACGCGTGTGTGTGTGTGTGCGTGTGTTGATGCGTTTGTTCTAGTTGTCCAGGTCTGTGTCGGTGTGTGTTTGTAGTACTAGTAAGTGTAATGGTTGTATAGCAATACTCATCACATTCTCTCTTTCTCTGCAGTACCGGTGGACTCCACTTCACGAGGCAGTCCACTATAACAAGATCAACGTTGTCAAGGTGATACTGTCACATGACAGTGATGGTGTCACCTTGGACACCACACTGCGTG